GGGCCAATTGTCTGGGCGGTCCCCAGGATGGTCCCCAGAAAATATTTCTATGTTTAGGGTCTGCGAAACCATGCATTTTACGCACAATTTGTGTTAATCTGATAGTCACAGTTTTTAGATATTTATGTCATGCATGAAAATATTAAGCGGTTACACCCCACACCCCCAATTCGCAGATTCAAAATCTCCCTGGTGGTGCCCTTTTTTTGGCATCAACCTGGTTCTGACAGTTCTGACGCTACTGAAAAAAGGTGGGGAGAAATGCAGACCCCCCTCCTCCGTGGCTATGCCAGAGATTTGTGCAATAGTGTATAAATGTATAGATTGTAGAATGATTATTTCTGGAGTAGCATGCCCCCAAATCGCCCTAGTGGTGCCCTTTTTTGGCATCACCTTGGTTCTGACAGTACTTAGTGTTAGTATGACTGACATTTTGAAAATTGTAGAAAGCTACCTATATATTAATTTTTTCTAATATAGACACAAGAAGTCATTGTACCCAGGGACGAACCTGGCTCAAATAGGGAGGTCCGGGGAATTGCTCCCTCTGGAAAAAAGTATATATGCATTGCTTGCAAAAAGTATATACTGCATAAGACAATTTATTATTATCATAACAAAATTACTGGATGCTGATTGGTTGAGAGGAGTACAGTTATTTCATTAATTGTACTGCAGTACAACTAATGATTTTCACAAAACAAACAAAATGGCGGAAAGGTATTTTAAACACAAATGTGAAATTAAATTGCTCTAGAGGAACTAGATCAAATACGAACAAAAGCATCGAATTTTGCTTTAGCAAAAGAATTAAATGAAAATACGAACAAAAGCACCAAATTTTGGTTGAAAGTCTGACAGGCCTGGAGAATATGATGTTGACATTGAGAAGTATCCAGTTTTGTCATGCTAATATAAACAAGTAATCATGCGATGTTGCTCGTACAATTAGGGATTAATAGTACTCGTGATGTTTGGAAATTTGCCAAATTGGACTCGCCCCGGCGGATCGTCCAATTTTGCCAAAATTTCCAAACATCACTCATAATATTAATCTCTAATTGTACTCGCCATCGCATGATTACCTATACTAAGCGAGTAGCATGATTTTCGAAGCCGAAATGAAGAAAATGCGCATATTTATGCCAATATAGCTACTATTTTGCCAACTTCAAAATTCTTTAACTCAAAACCGGCTCGAACATTTTGCATTTTTAGTCCGACATAATAATTTACTGTGGAATCAAGATATCAAAGGATATCAAGGAAAATCACAGTTGCCAACATATATAGTCTTGTTCACCAATGTTTCGGCTGTAAGAAAATGCCAGTTGGCAGCTTGTAACAAAAAATGCCACCAGAGTGTGACTTTCAGAGAGTTGGCCGGTCGTCTAATGTACATCCTTAAGAAGAGCAAAGCAAATCGACTCAATTATCACATAAGGTTTTTTGCAAATTTGTATATAATTATATAACTATGTCAAAAAAATTCAATTTATTTAATTTTCTAGTATTATTACAAAGCACCTGTTGAAAGACAAGGTAAAACATGACTGATTTGCACTGGATGAAATAAGTTGGCCAATTACATCATGCATGTTCTCCACCAGAAATCTAATGTTAATTGGTTATTGTAAGTTACTTAATAATCGTGTTCTTTTAGAACTCGTATTTACTCGAACCATCAATGTTACTATAGATATATCGCTACTTTACAACTTGTTATTTTGTTCCCTTAATAATGTTGAAAATAAAATTTTGAATGAGATAACTTCCTGTTAATGCAAATATGATTCCCAAGAAGTTTATTATTAAGGCTACGTGTACAATTTGTCGGACCAATTTCAGGTCCATTTCAATGTTAGTAGACAGATTAAGAAAAGACGACGACGCGGTCTCAATTTCAGTTCAAGATTGAGGGCTAAGGAACTTTATTACTGGAATAAATTGAAGCTTTTTAAAATAACCTTACAAACGTCTAGAAGTTCCAGAAAAACGATCCGCGGTTTCTGCTGTATAATGATTATAAAAGGTGAACTATCTTTATTCTAGCTAGTATTTCATGATATGATAGTCTATTTACAAAAGCTCTATTTATACTAATAATTGTAACCGTCCCAGGCTTACACATGCATATATAATTAATCATGACATCTGCTACGAGACTGATTTTATGCAATTTCTCCAACGTCTCAACAAGCATTCACGTTGCTCCAATGACATGGAAATCCTAGTTTAACGTTGCATTCAAAATGACAACGTTGAAGGTACCCCCGGAACCACAAATTATTCAAACTTTTTGTTTTGCTTGAAAAGTTTCTGTGTTTCGAAGGCGCGTCTTTCAGTTCGCGTCATGTTTTAATACTAAATCAGTTATCAGTCAACGACAACAACAACTGCAAGCAATATTTATCATTTTTGAAACAGCGTTTAATCTAAAATTCAAGTGCATGCAGAAGCCTATTTATCACAAGTTCCTTAAAGTAAGTATTGCATAAGTGATTTTTCTCATTATAAAAAATATTCTTATTGTCCCAATAAATTTGGACATATTTCAAGAATTTTTGCTTTATAGGTCGAGAGATGATTCGCAAACTTTCTTGAGTTTTCGTATAAATACCAGTTGGTGATAACTGTCCGTTGTAGCTTCGCATTCCTGTCCAAAGAACTTTAATCTGATGTCAAATGCCTGTTGACATGACTCCAGAGCTGCAGCATAATCTTCCATTTCGTACTGACATTCTGCAATGCTGAAGCAGCTTTTAGCGGAGCTTGGGTGTTCATTTCCATAGAGCGCCACGCTAATATCCAGGGATTGCTGATGCCAACGCAGAGCTGAAACGTAGTCTTTCAAGCGAAAATTTATCACCCCAATATGAAAACAAACGTTGGAAACCTCTGGGTGGACTTTCCCATGAATATTTTGACTGGTCTCAAGTGCTTTCTTGTACGATTGCAGTGCTGCCTCGTAATTTTTTTTGCCAAGTTGGGTATCTCCAATCACGAAATAGCTATCGAAGGTATCTGCGTGGTTGTGCCCATAAAGCTTCAGTCTGATGTCTAGTGCTTCGTAATGACATGTCAAAGCAGCGTCATAATTCTTTTGTTCGTATAAAATTAATCCAATGTTATAGTACCTTGCGGCTGTATCCGGGTTTAGCCGACCATACTCTTCTATAAAATTATTAAGAACGACCTGCAGCGCTGCTGGACTCTCTTGCTTTATTTTAACTTCTGCCAGAGTGCTTTCTACGAGTAAGAGTAGTGGCAGGTATAGACGGTCGTTCCGTGCCTCGGCGTCAACTTCTTTCAGTAACTTGGAGACGGGAAAACCAAGTTTAAACATTATCTCCTTCATGTCATAGCATTCCACAATGCAGTTGATGAGAAGAGCAAGCGGCAAAATGAGTGGTTGATCTAAAGCTTTTGGGATTTCATCCTCATTCTCGTCAGCGCAATCATCTTCTTGTATAGCCTTGAAGAAAGCATACAAGGATGGTCTGTTAGCGCATTCAGTTAAAACAATGTTCCGGTAGTACGAAGACTTTTCTGCGTGAAGAGTAATCAAAGCAAGAATCTGGGAGCATAAGACCTTAAGTACAGTATTTTCAGAACTCAACAGAGAAACCCCTGTTTCAATAATTTCGCTTCCTTTCGGTATCGCTCTATGTATTAGCAAGTGGATACCATGGTAACACATTCGTTTTCCCATGGCAACTTCTGAAGGAAGGAGAGGATTTTGCTTCTCTATTTCTTCGGCCTCTTTTAGTAATGCCAATGTAGCTCCATGATTCCAGGTTATTTCACCAAATGCTTTAGCAATTAGCAGTTGGTGGACAGCTTTAAATTTACGCTGTTCTTTTGCCTTCGCTATTGCTGATTTATAAATTTCTTGAAAAATCCGGAAATGGTGAAAGTAGAAAATAGTGTCCAGAAACAGATCCGCATCGGAAAGAACATCGAAAATTGCGTGGCAGACAGCCTCATTTTGAAGACCTTCGGAGAGACTATGCACCATATTTTCTTTGTTAAATTCGAAATCGTGAAATGCGAGCAGAGAACTTCCAGCGAGAAAGTGGTTGTTTAAATCTTCAAATAACTTGACGTAATAACTCAAGAATCGCCTTTGTGCTTCGTGAGCAATTTCTTTCATGTCATCAGCTGCTTTTTCGGAACCAAATGACCTGATCAGAGGGTGAAAAGAAAATAGTCCTGCTTCGGAAGAATTTGCTTCAACCAACGATTTTCTCTTGAGCCTCAACAAAGTTTTCTTCGCTGTGTTTTCATCTCCTCCAATGACGTTTACTGCAGCTTGCTCGTCGAACACTTCACTGACAAAAACTGAAAGACAAACAAATCCTTCTTGTTCTTCTCGAGATAGTCTTTTGAAATAAGACTCAAACAAGACCTTTAAACGTTGATCATTAGGCGCATCTGGATCGTCTAACAAGTCTGCTAGCTTTTTTGATGAACAGCTAAAGTTGTCAAGGAATTGAGATATACTCTTCTTCTCGTCAACGATTTGACCGCACAAAAGCTTGATGGCCAGCGGAACGTCTCCACAAACCTTAGCCACACTGCAGCATTCACTTTCATCAGCAGCAGGGACAAGTTCTTGAACAAGAATTTGTGACGATTTTCTCCCTAGCGATGCAACACCGACAAAAGTGTGACCAGCAAATTTTCTTCCCAGCACCGATTGAAGACTTATCCTTGTGGTCAGTAGAAAGGATACATTCTTGCAATGAGAAAAGATCTTTTCCAGTAGGTCTAAAACATCTTGGCTCGTTTCACCACTACTCTCAAAAAGGTCATCGGCGTTATCGAGGATGATACAAATATTCGAAGGAATTACACTGAGGAGTCCGCATATTTTTGAACGCTCTCGCCCCGTTAGATCAGAGGACGTATGTGCAAAGGTGTTTAACAGGTCAGAGATCAGTTCTTCCGCTGTCTTGACGCTTCTCATGGAAAAGAAATAAACTGGTTGTCCTAGCTGTCTAAGTTGGTGTCCTACTGCAATTGCCAATGAAGTTTTGCCAAAACCAGGGGGGTCCAGATACAGTGACTAGCCGAGCAGATGTGGACGTCAACGCACGCAAGATTTCTTCACATTCTTGTTGTCGACCAATGAAATGAGGCACCATGGGAGGAAGGCAGGGCTTGGGTACGGACTTGTCAAACACTGTGGTCAAATATAGAAAATACGGTTAAACTGTAGCCGTTACCTGCTGGACTAAAGGCAAAAGAGTAAAAAGCAGTGAAGCACTACGGGTAGCTTCTTTTTGGTCGTTACAAAAAAGTGCTTGTACACCAATTGGGGGTGGGGTGGAGGGGTCATTCGTCCAGGAGATAAATCACCCACTTTACTGTATACAGTATAGGGGTGCGCCGGAACTAACCGCCGGAACTAACCGGCCGGAACCGAGTTCCGGTGCACCCCTAATACAGTATATACACGAACTTATGGTTTGCGCTCAACAACTGAACTCTGTAACACAGTTGGTTAGAGCGCATGCAACTATAGAGGGTCTATAGTTGCATTTTTCGCAGCTATTCCTGGTTAAATATAAAATTGTATTTATTATATAATCTTTATAATATAATATGTATAAAATCTTTCGCTCCAAATTTCCAGCTAAAAAAAAACATTCAACTGTTAGTTCTATCGACCGACGGATATCTCAAGCTGCATTACGTAATCATAAAATTGGGAAAAAATCACAACGTCATATGGCACAATTTAAACGCTGTTTTTTGATCGAACAATTTAAAGTTGAGGTATAATATTATATTGTATCAAAGACGGTGCTTTATTGATTTTCGCTGAATTAGCATTATAGTTCAAATTAATGCTATTTTTGCAAGGTAATTGGACAATTTTTTATATACTAAATAGAACAATACATGGACGATCGGAAATACGAAATTTATCTCTTGTATTGACAAGGCTATTCTGGTCGACTCTAGAAATTAATTTCATATTTCCACACATCCATATACACTCTAAAAATACCCGGGTTAAAAACTCCTGGTTAAAGGGTATGAGCAACAAAATTTTTTATTCCTTCATTTGAAAGAGCATGAAAAAATAAGCCGATTGGCCGTTTAATGCTCTAGTCTATCTCATCTAGTTCCGAAGTTGCAAACATGTGCAAAATATAAATTGCTGATTCAGCACAACGTGTGACGTCATTAGCTGGGTAAGTATGTTTATTGAATAGTAAACTGAAGCATAGCTCAGTTATTATTGGCTCAAATCAAATGAAATTTTGCATACTGATTGTACATGATGAGACGCATTGAAAAACACTTCTAATTTTGTTGCCAAGGTAACAATGTCGTTCCCAGGCCCTTTGCGCCAATTTTATAAAACAGCTTTATTCATGGTACTTATAAGAATAAAATAATATCAGAAGTATGTGTACCATATCTATGCATGCCAAAAGTTTACTGGCATGATAATAATTCGAAAATGACATACACATAGATAAATGCAACTAGTTATTCAAAATCAGTGTAAGGGGCCTGGGAACGACTGCTGTTGCCTTGACAACAAAATTAGAAGTATTTTCGCCTTGCGTCTCATCATGTACTATCTGTATGCAAAATTTCATTTGATTTTAGCCAATAATAACTGAGCTATGCTTCAGTTTACTATTCAATAAACATACTTACCCAACTAATGACGTCACACGTTGTGCTGAATCATCAATTTATATTTTGCACATTTTTGCGTATAACTTCGGAACGAGATGAGATAGAATAGAGCATTAAACGGCCAATCGGCTTATTTTTTCATGCTCTTTCAGATGAAGTAATAATTTTTTTGTTGCTCATACTTTTAATCCAAAATTAACATTGTTCAGGGTAAGTTAATGTTCCTGGTTACATTTCCTGGTTAATTTACCCACAGTCCTGGTTAACTTGATCCTAGTCGTGTCTAATTTAACCAGGGTCCCTGGTTGATTTAACCAGGCTATATGGTTGTATTAACCGGGTTATAGTACGTGGATTATCAACCAACAATTCCTGATTAATAATTCGCCTAAAATAATCTGGTTAATACAACTATGTAGGCTGGTTAAATTAAATGGACCAGGAATCCTGGTTTTTAAGCCATGAAAATGATCAAATTAACGATGGAGGACTGTGGTTAAATTAAACAGGAAATTTAAACAGGAACATTAAGTTAGCCCAAATACTGTTAATACCAGACTAACAAGGAAATTTTTAATTTAGGTGTTTTTGCGTTTATTATTCTATATATATTTGGTAACCGTGTACATACCTTGAACTTCGTCTGGAATATAAAATCGTTTCAGCACATGTTGAACATAAGAAGCTGAAACTGCCGCACCAAATTGGCACCATGTCGAATCTTGACATTTATCATTTGCCCATCTTGCAATAGATTTACAGGACAGCCACGGTACTCCAGAGTTCCGACACGTTGCATGTACACCTTAAAACGATAAAACTGAGGTCATCCTTGACTTTTGAGGGAAACATCGGAAATGGAGGACTTTCTGACGAGCTTTAGCTCTCCTCGAGCCTCTGGTCAGAGCCTCTAGTCGGTCATCAGAAACTTGCAGTGTCAATCCCTGTCTGAGGACTGGCTTCGCAAACTCACAGCTGGTTATTGGAATGGCAGCCATCTTGAATATTTGTATATATAATATGCTTTTGAACGGTGTAAATAAAGCGTGTTTGGCGAAATGTTTATAATTCGTGTTTAACATTTCTGCACGCACGTGACCGAGCGGAATGGATGCGGGATCGTACCGCGTCCCGATTAATCCTTAATCACTACAGTTTTAACCAATGAGAAGCGAGTAAATTGACTAAAATGATATTTTTATGAAATTGATCGCGTCTTTTCTTTAGAGCCTGTCTATTTAAATATTCTTACTCCACAACCATTTTCTCTTCATATTTCAAAAATTCACCCGGGATGACGCTTCTAACTGACAAGATTAAATTTAGCAAACACTTTTTGCTTATTTTTCCTGTTTTACGAGGAAATTATTGCGATCGCTCGCATTAGAACACCTACTTTTTGACGCCGTGTCTATTCCAATGGTTCCTGCTTTGTGCGAATCCCTATTTTCGTCGTCATCATCTTGTAAACCAGTCGTAAACTGACCAACATAGACTTTTGGAACTACCACATTTTCACAAGGACCAACCCACGCAAATTTCCCACGGTGGAACAAATGTACCAATCCCAAATTGCAGTCATACGTTGTGCCATCAAAATTCGACAAATCGTCATCCTGCTGCTCAAGAAAGTAAACTTGTGATGACACGACGACATCACCAAGGAAATGTGCTTCTTTCCTTACACCATCGCAAACTCCCAGACTAACAATAGCTTTCGGTTTAAGTTCTTGGATTGTTTCATAAACCAGAAGGTCATGACTTGACGAAGCGGCGGTCTTGCCGAAGTATGGAACTTTCAAGAGCGTCACTTTATTTCTACCTATTTTTCCAAAGCAACAGTTTTTGTCACTTTCGTCTTTCTTGCTTGGTATTTCGTCATTGTTTAATATTTTTTGCGCTTCATTAAACTCGGTGTTGTCCACTGTCAGCAAAAGAACGTCGTTAAAATATTTGAATTCGGAGTCCGATGTCGCAGCACACTGATCTAAACAAAGAAACATGCAGACAAATAAAGAAATTAATTAATGCAAAATAAAGCAGATAGACAGACGGACGGAAGATGGATTTATTTTTCTTTTCCGAGACAAAAGCATCTGTAAATTGAAACCACACAAGGGTGAACAGACTTTTAGCCAGGGTGTCAAAACTGTCCATCCAAAAAATACCGTGGGTGTGACAACCTATTTTCATAAACATGGTACAAAAACAGGGAGCTTGAAATCATTGGTGATATACTCATAATTCAGCGTCTTTTCTTGTAGAATAGATAACAACAGCTGACAACTTTTTAGTTATTAAAGAAAACATTCTTATAGGCAGTCCGTGGCCGTCTATTAAAAAAAGTGGCGATCTTATTTTAAAAGTGATCGTCAATATAGGACGGTTGACGAGTGACAATCCACACACGAGAATCAGAGAAAAACTTTAGTTGACGCGGTTGCGCATCGAACCCGCTAGTCAACTGATTGTCGCATGTCTAGACTGTGCCACAGTTCTTTTGTGGGGCCTGTGGGGGTCACCAAAGTTAGGCTACATGTCGATCGAGCGGCTTGCCCGCGCAGGAACGAGCGAAACGAAGTGGGAGGAGGAAAAGGCTCTGTGGACATTCTATTTATAAATGGGTCTTTAGACAACGCAACTTCAGACACCGTGTTCTTCAGACAACGCATGTTTTCCATTGGCTGGAAGATGAATTGATTGACAAACCCTTCATGTGGCAGAATCATGTACAGATGATTGTTGGGACGAATGTTTCCGACAATTTCTCATGGTTTCATGGTTAAAGCGTGACCAAAACGAATGTGTATTTAGTACACTGCCCATGCAGTATTGACGTATTCACCGTATTCCCCATGAGATATGGAAAGAGCATAATTTATCGGTTGTTTGTGATGACTAACATGGCATGATAAGCGCGGCATTTTTAACATTCGAAATAGGCCACTTTTATATCTTCCATTTTAAATATATTTTTGTTTGCATGTATTTTGTTCATATCCTTACAAATTGCTATGTTCAACGTTAAAAAGCACAAGAACCCTATAGACCCCTTCCTTTGTTTACGTTTTTCTGGCAGGCAAAAATACCTAGGAGAGGATACTTTATTGTAGTATGTATTGTCACAGAGGAGGTTGGACAGCCAATTAGGCGAACATCTCGACCAATCAGATTGCGCCATTTTCCTCATGCTGGCACGAAGCTTTTGGCATCGAAAATTTACATAGGGCTCATAAATATCGATTTTTTCATATTGTTATGCAATTTTTTGGGGAAATTTCACGCGATACTACTTCTACAACAGTCAATCTACCCATTGGAACGGTATCTTAAAAGGTAAGCGTCATTTTCCAGTTTATTTTGACCTCTCACTTAGGCGCTATGACGTCGCGATGTAATTTAATGGCGTTTCTGTCAACAATCTTTGAAGACAAAATTCTCAAATCTCCATGGTTCGATTTCGCTATTTTTTTCACGATTAGTTAAATAAAAGTATAATCTTTAATTCTATCCAGCCGGCCCCCCTCGGCCTCTCAACCGTTTTCGAGATATTCACCGTTTAATATAGCCCTTTGTAAAATATGCTGCCTTGTCACTCAGATCGATAATGAACTGCTATTATTAGCTTTTTTCTAAAGAAATTTGATATACTATAGAAGTTTCGATATATTATGGATTTATATATATTGGTTAAAGTATGTAAAAAATTAAAGCACTTCTGTAACAAGATTTTATTGGTGAAATTCATTGTTTGGCTGATGTTTTTATAGATTTGTGATTTTGGCTAGAGGATTCTATTTTTGTCAATGATTGGAGTTCTAAACTTGTTCACTTCTCTGGTAATGTTACTGATATGATATGATGACTTGACATAACTTCTGGATTTTCAAAACTAACCCATGCAGTGACAACAAGAACAGGTACTCATCCACCCGTTTCAAAAATGGCTGGTAAAGATGCTGGTTTAGATGCTCCTGGTTTAGATGCTAAATTTGTCCCTCATCCCAATTGTTGCCAAGGCTATGTCTGTACTTCATGCTGGTAAAAAAGACAATCTGATTTATAACGCTGCTCGATGCTTTGGAGAACAACGCCATGGAAATGTTGGTCCTATAATGCCATTGGATAGAATGCCCTTTATAGCAGTGAAGGCCCACTTGACCTTTTTTAACAGTATTTTGTATAAATGCTGTTATGCAACTAATTCAGATAAAGTTTGAGAAATGGTGGTTCTTATGCACCTATCAATGTTAAGCCCCAGAGAGGGGGGTCAAATGCCCCACTGTTGGGCAATAAATATTGGTCAAATACCCTACCATTTTGCAATAAATTGCAATAAATACTATATTAATAAAAGTACTTTTGATTCAAATTGCCCTAACTTGGGCCCAAATGCTAATCCATAGTTAACTATGGCTAATCAAAATCCCTGGGGTGGAGATGCAATTAATGATCAAATACCCCACATATGCCCCCCCCCCTTTGGGAGTTAACATTGATAGGTGCATTATATGCAGGTTATTTTTGTATTCTCATATAATGTACCTTAATTAAAGTATCAGCAGCATGTTATTGTGGGACTATTGATCAATATTATTGTATATAAATAGACATATTTTTGTTTTATTGTTGCATTAATTTTAATGAAAATTTACTCACAAAGTTGGTAAAGTGAATGTACAAACTATTTATTTGTTCATTTAGTACAGCACATGTTACAATTATGTACTTAATTGCATGAGTGTGCATGACAGACATTGTTTTAATTGCACCCACTTGTGATTAACCTAGTTTTTGTTTAATTTAAAAATGCTGAAAAAAAAATCTAAAAAGTTAGCCAATTGAAATAACAGCATTTATATAACTTGCTAAACCTAGTCAGTTGCTATCATATCACAAACATCTGTCAACATACACTCATGCTCTCCCTTACCACTTGAGTCTCCCACTCACCACATTGCTTTATGAAATTTTTTTGATAAAATCCTATTTTAAAAAACTCAACCCTATACTTGATATGCTGAACATAGACCTCTAAGATATCTCCTGCGGCAATTAGTGGGTGCAAATACTTGCATAGTTCAGAAGCAATATAACCAACATGTGTCCATCCTGTTCCATAGTCTAGATCAATTGCACTTGAGTCTGTTGGATTCAATTGCTCTGGCCATGCCAATGAAGCGCAAGGTATGCCTGTTCCAAAATTATGTTGGTAGTTTTTCTCATGAGCAGCACCGATGCACTTGAAATCTTGAATGGTACAGCATGGGTGATTTTGTCCTCGTCATTTTCATCCTCATCACTTAACTGGTCACCACTTTCTGCCCTATCACCTTCATTACAACTTTCTACCCCATCACCTTCATTACCTGACCAGGTTCAAGACCAGTCAACCACTCAAATAGATCTCTTTCTACAAAATCATAACAAGAAAATTTTTATTTTATTATTTTATACATACACTGTAATCTCTAAAATTAGCAATCTAATGCAAAAGTATGTCACTATTCACAGTAATATTAGAACAACACACAAGTATGGCAATATTATTTACAGATGAATATTGAAAAATATATAACTGTATGCACATATATGTAAAAATCTATCCACAACTAGATACAAACAGGCATCATACTTCAGCAAAAATGTATTAAACAATTTGTTTAACTCAAAACATGTACATAAATTATGTATCACAGTGACACAGTACATAGACACACACAATAGGGTCAAACTATAGGCAATAAACACAAATATTACGCTATAATTTTGTACAGTGTATTTATGAAATTACAGTACAGTACAGTGCAGTGCAAGAATAAAAACAACAAAGCTGAAATTTGACTAAATAACAAGATAACTGTAATGCATTGTATTATACCAACCTTATTAAATACTGCGCTTGTTTTTACGTTGATGATACACGGAGATTTAATAACGCCATCCAACTTTAATTAGAAAGAAGAGCCTTGCTATTGGGAAAATTTACATAAACACAATTCCCTCGCTCAGACGGATTATTTGTAAACTAAACTAAAATGACAACACGTCCCATGCAATTTAAAAAAAAGGTAAACTTGCTATAGTAAAACACAAGTCATAATGAGGATCGCAACAATACAGCAATATGCTGTTTTCACAGAGTATCTGACACTCTTGTCGTTCGACAGCTTCCATATTTGTTTAGTCAGAGAGATGTTCACTCCTCGACAGTCAACAGTAGTGATGGGCGATTACCGATTACTTGGTATCGATACCACCCGATACCAGGCCCAAATCGGAAGTAGTCGATACTGCACGGTATCGAAAAAGTGTTTTGATTACTTTTAAAATTAGACATTTATTATAATTCTGTAGTTGTGTCATCGTTTTCATGGCTATTTCTAATAAAATTTATGTACTTTTTTGTATTTTGCTGCATTTACCAATTTAATCAAACTTTCCTTTACTTTATTTGACATTCTATCCACTTCCCTGATTAATATTCCGGACTTCGTCGACAGAATAAATTATGAAAAAGGCGGGAAATAACTTATAATGGCGGAAAATTCTGAAATACAATCGTCGTCGTAGTAATCGTTTGAGTAATCGATACCTCGATACTTTTACGAAAAAGGAATCGGTATTGTATCAAATCGATACTGGTGGTATCGCCCATCACTAGTCAACAGTCAATGAAGCCATGCGTCGAATTAGGCGCTCAATACCATAGATATAGGAGATATAGATCGCCGACTCCTATTCTGAAGACTAGAAACGAGACGTGACCACTGGACGTGACCAAAATTAAAAATCCAAGATGGCGGAACAAGCGGGCAAAAAACGCAAGTGACATAGGAAAACCAGGTAAATATGGGTATTTTCAAGCACTTATTGTGGAAAATCTACATGGAATTTCGCTACGATTTTGGTTTTATTTAAAAAATATTAGTGTGGTTTTTTTTGCTTTTATATCTCGAAATATTCAGCTGAAATGTGTCGAGTTATTCAACTACATGGACATTTATGCTGTCGAATCCAATGTTAATCATTACCAAAGAGGATTAGTTTGTTAATTTTTTGTCTCTCTGATGGCTTTTCATCTCGAACTATTTTCTCCGAATGGATCTTTCCGAAGCGGTAGACAAATATCTTGGCCTAGAGGTCTGAAATGGAGTGGATTAGGAGTGCAATATGGTCATCTCGTAAATTTTAGTCAAGAATATGGCATTCTCATGAGTACTGCCCCAAGGAAGTGAATGTAGATGGCTTGGTCTCCGGCAGAACTTGCTGTTTAATCACTTGGAGGGATTCTTTCTTCATTAAATGCCATTATGCCACTGATGGAGTCTTTCACGAAGGATTTTATCTGTGACTTGGACTATTTTCACAACTGAAGGCGAAGGAACTATTAAGTGCCATATAACTCTTGAGGGAAATTAAGTAGTTGGAGCTGTTTGGGGATGTACGGGGGTAGGATGACTGATCTGGTAGTATATTTTGATCTTAAGCCACCAAGGCATCAAACATGTTCAACACATTTTATGGATGAAAGAAATTGCTACACTATGAACCCTCTATAAATGTTACTGTAACCAAACACTATACTGGAGAGCTGTCAAGCATTCCCACAATTATCTTGTCAGGTTCAAGCTCTTTCTCGGTTTGTCACAGTGTTCTGTTCATAATGCCGATTGAAATTGTAATATTATGGGATTGTTTTTCTGGACAGTGAATGCTGGATAATCCAAGTGGGGGCATATGTACACAATTTAAGACCTAACCAGGAACGGTTGCAAAAAGTACAACACTAGGTCCTCTGGCAGGAATCAAACCTGTCGCCTTAGGTCTTAAACTGTGTATATATGCTTGCTTGGATTATCCACTAAACCCAACATTCTAGTTCAACCAAGTGAAGTGCAAAACACATCTTTCAAGTTTACCTTATCAAAATCCACACACCTGAAAGTCTATATATAACTGAACATGAACTTGTGGTTGCAGCTTGGCAACTGGCCTATGCAGCTTATGTATCTATCAATGTTAAGCCCGGGGGGGGGGGCATGGGGTTGGGATTTGACATTTTCCTGAAAAAAATGTCAAAATCTACACCCCAGGGACACCACCATTGGTCAAAAAATGGTAATACTCCCCACCTGAGGAAATCAATATTGGGTCAAAAAACAGTAGTATTTCCCCCATGTGGGGGCTGGGAAAATTTGTTATATTGCATTCATGATCAAACTAATAACCCAAAGTGTTGTACTTCAACAAAGCAGACTATTAAATTGCCTGTTCCAACAATCTAAGTATAGGCCAGTGACAATATGTATAGGCCAGTGACATGAACACGTTCCCATTATTTGTGTATGAATAAAAAATATTCAAAATTGCCTGGCCAAGGGCTGCCTTGAAAGATGAAATGTCCACACCCAGGGCCGCCGAGAGGGGCCCAGGGGGAGGGGGGGGGGGCAAATTGCCCCAGGCCCCCACCATAATAGGGCCCAACTTGAGAGGAAGAGCCTAAAATTGAGTAGTTTCTTTAAATTGGTCAGAGCATTTTGGAAATTGAGGGCCCCCTACAGTACCTCCAGATGCAGTCTAGCTAAGGTCTAGTTGGGTCTAGCTTAAAAATGTCATGGGGCCCCCAGGGAAGATTTGTCCTAGGCCCCATGTATTCTCTCGGTGGCCCTGTCCACACTACAGGGTGATCTTGCGACATCAAAATCCTCCCCGTTGGGCAAGCAAAATTGTTCAAATCTCTACCCCTTGCCCCCCCCCCCAAGCTTAACATTGAAAGGTGCATTAGTTGGTTAGAGTGCTACACTGGAATTGCAGGGCCACAGGTTCGATTCCTGGAAGAGGACCTAGTGTTCGCAACCGTTCCTGGTTACAGTAGGTCTTAAATTGTGTATGCATATGCCCCCTTGGATTATGCACTATTATGCCAAAAGGGTTAAATTGACAAATGTTTGCAGTTATGATTTGCATGTGAAATTATCTGTCATGTAACCTAGGTTGGCATATTTTCATATAAGGATGCATTTTAAAATATATTTGAATTTTGTAGCTGAAGTTGCTTATTTCATATTTTGTATGGTTCAAAAATTGTGAAATAAATATTCTGTTCACTGTCCATTTGTGTCTATTTTGGTAGCAATGCATTGTATGCAGATGCATGTAATGCTGTTGGAGTCGCTGGATTGTTCCCCAAAGTTTGTCAACAAGTAGATATTTTGCAGGTTTCTCTTGTAAGCCTTAAATTAACTCATTGAGCCGCAAAGTGCCCCAGTGCGCCCTACTTATTTTTTTACTAGTACTTGTCTAACGCCTGACGATTTTACTTGTCAATGGGGAAGCTCTGCAGCTTAATGGGTTAATGAAAACATAAGGGTATATATTTTATTGGATTGCACAAATCACATGAATGAAGTTGAATGGATAAACCTTCATTTCATAAACATTCATGAACCTTCATATCATATTTAAACTGCTTTATCTCAAGAGGTTGTGCATGGCCTGAAGCTCTTTTCTTTAATTTAATATAGTTAGACCTATATTTTCAGTACACCTGTCTGTATATACAGTATAGTTGTTGGTATAGTTGTTGCCTGTGAATTTCTGTTGATATTTTGATTGGAAAATGTTTGGGATTTGTTGTTTTACATTGTTTTGATGCAATGATGCATCTGCTGAAGTTTATATGGATAGTTCTTCAAAATATTTATAGCAGGTAATTTAGCTGGAATACTTCATGAGAGGCTGAGAGCAATTTTATTCTTGCCATATTAAATGTTTATTTATAATTTAATGATGCAAATCATAGTGGGCATTGAAATTTACGTTCAAGTCTTTTTTTGCAAATAAAAAGATGCTATTAATGTTTCAAGTGTGAACAGTGAGCTACTGAGCACTGTAGAAAATGGCGAGCTGGAACTTTTTGAAAACAATCGAATGGAAAAGAATACATATATTAAGGACAAAAATCTCAAGTTTTTAACAAAAGAATTGATAATACAAAGATAAACTATATTTTCCCATTTATGATAAACTATATTTTCCCACTAAAGTCGGAAAAAAGTGGCATTAAAACATTTATGAAATGCATATTCTACCTGTGGAATGAAATAGCAATTCCACTGTTCGATGTCACTCTCCAGAGTCTTATTCGTACAGTTCTACGCCGCTCATTCGCGCTCAAGACTGTGGCATTGTAGTTTTGGATAATAAAAACAAAGCCAGGTGGGTGTTGCTCAATATTTTAGCCAAAAAAAACTAAAATCAGAACGCTTTAAAACACTTCAAAACAGCCGAGAACTTCGCAGTCTGAACGCTCGAAAACTAATGTGTTTATATGGAAAAAAATTTCCCGCGTTTTTTTTTTCCCGCTTGTTCCGCCATCTTGGATTGTTCGAAATGTCACGCCTCGCGAGCTGAGTCGGCGATCTATATCTCCTATATCTATGCTCAATACCCATGATGCTTTGCGGCCTGCTGTCCAACCTCCTCTGGTATTGTCAGGAACCGACCGATATTCAGCATCTTGATTTTGTTCTCTTGCTTTTTGGCAGTGGATGCATGCTTACCACTCAACCGAAAGTTTCCTTTGTCCACTGTTCTTGGCTGTCGCTTGCCCCCCTTGGGTGGTTTGCCCAGCAGAGTAACTATAATCTTTGTGTTCATGGAAAAGACCTATTTGATGATGCTCTGCCTGCAGCTACAAGCGATTTGAACAATCATCATGCAATGACGAGACACCGACAACATATTATGCCCTCTCGGGGAATTCGGCAAAAGAACCCGACAGAGCAGTGCCTTTTTTAAGGAATTTTCACTGGGGGAACAGGAGAAAAAGGCAGAACGAAAAATATGAGCCGTCGAGGTTTGGCGAACGCGCCAGTCTGAAGAGAGATTTTGTAAAACTTTAATTAATTTATTAACCTTACCTATATAAACAATAACTTCAACTCTTTGTAGCTATAATCGTACAGCTATAACCAGTGGCGTAGCCAGACCTTAATTTATTTTTTTTGGGGGGGGGGCGAACCTCACGCCAAAGGCATGAGACCGTCTAGGAGGGTCCGGGGGCATGCACCCCAGGGAAAATTTTGAAATCTAGGGTGCCTGAATTGCGATTTCAAGCATTTTGGGAGTGAAATTCCGAAGAGTTCCGAAGATTATAAAGTACATCGAAGACATGAATTTTTCCAGACATTTCTACTCGGAATTAAATAAATTGGAAAAGTCACCTTGAAAAATAGGAGGAGGGGTACGTCAGTGTCACCTTATTTCCTCTCTGGGGGGGGGGATCCCAATGTGATTTTGATCAGACATGTTGCATTTAAATAATTTTAGGTTCTATGAGACACCATTTCCGCATTCTACAAATTGCGTTGCTTGCTTTTTCACACAGAATAAATATGAGAAGAAATATTCATGCTATGATGATGCATACATGTATTTAACTGTTAAAAAACTAAACTAAATCTATTCTTCTTGGAACCAGCTTTTATCGGATTGTTTGCATGAAATCTATCGCTATTATGAAATACTCGGTGAAGAGCAATATGAATTACATACAAGATGGCTGTGGAGGAGGCTATGGAAGGGCATAATCTCATCAAGTAAATCAACTGCAATTTTGACAGCAATCATGAGCAATTCTGCCTCGCACTTCGGGGGCAGAAATGGCTTTACTGGGGGGGGGGAAATTCTTTCCCGGGGGGGGGGCAATTGCCCCCCAAGATATATAGTTAAAAAAGGCACTGCATATGGTATAAATCTAGCTTTCCAATTGGGAAATCTATAATGTACAATTAAGGTATAATATTACATAAACAACATATACCTGTAGCATCTTTTGTCTGTGTTAATACTCCTTCAATGCTGTTCAATTTTTGTTTCACTTCACTCATTTCGTATTTCATCTCACTCATTTCATGTTTAACCTCACTTTCAAGAAACAGATAGGAGTCATTTCTCTGACGCTTGATTTCTTTATTAAGTTTTTCTACTTCCTTTGTAGGAAAATCCGATTCTTTCAAGTTGCCAATCCTCTCCAGAGATATCGGGCTAAAATTCAAAGCAGTGAACGCGTCTTTGGCGTGCCTGACATAGTTATCGAACGTGACTTTATTTATTTGAGGGCTGGATGTATGACAAAGAGTGTTTCGTAAAAGACGAAGCTGATCAACGGCAAGTGCAATCGTCTCATTTGCATCTCCGCTGGAGCTCCTCACGGCAGAGTGGAATGGAGCAGGGACTGGCTTTCGTCGTTTTAAATATATTTCTCCAAGCGTCTTTTTCTTCCCTGTGCTGTCTGGTAGCGCAAATGTTCTTGCATACAGAGTGGCTTGAAATAGTGCAGTGCAGTCCCACTCTTTAAATGAGTTGTTCGTGGGGATCTTTGTGTTTGGAGCCTCATTGTTGTGGAGTATATTGCGTAAAAGAGGCGAGTCATCCCAAACTGTGGAACTTGGTGCAACTCTGGTGTCCCACATGTCTACAAAGATGCTACGCAAAGCATCTGGGAATTCCTTTAGGACAATCGACGCAAACTTGAAGTAATTCAGCTCTTCATCAGAATACGGCTGCATAGACATGTTGGCTTACTTTATGAGCATAAATGACACGGGGAAAAAGGACCTGAAAAACTGATACAAAGAAAAACATCGATAAGGCACATGTTCAGAGCAAACAGATCTGACTTGTAAATTTAATGGACGTAACTTAAAAAGGTTACAGTTTACGACGCAATGTTTCGAAACTCCAGTAGGGTTGGGCGATATGAAACAAATCACATCATGATTATTGTTTAGGAAATTATTCGATAATATCGCAATAAATGTATTAAAAACAATGACCGTTGTTGCAATTTTAGATAATACACAGTAAAAACATATTAGCGTGACAAAAATAAGATATACATCTGTTCATATCTTATTTATAGGCCGTTTGTCGAGGCATAAAAAAGTGCCTATAAAACGATTTTCATTTACCGTGCCTCGTAACTCAAATACTTTTACATAACTTACCACTTTTAAACATGCTGATTCTGAATCCGAACAGTTCCCGCTCCGTAGACCCGCAGTATTTTTTGTAAAATTCATGTTTATTTGCACTCCTTTGACGAAATTCCAACAATCGCCCGCCATTTTGTTTATTATTCCTCGATGCTTCGAATTAAATTGCATCGCTCAAACGCGTGTCTGGAGGTAAAGTCCCGCAAATTTTGGCTTCATTCGCGATTCCCTCGCGAGATCGCGGTGGGGGGTGAAGCGTGCTGTTTGTATTCAGAAGAACAACATTAGGGCCATTTATACGGAACAAAATAAGACGCGACTTACATAAGACGCGACTTAGGTAAGACGCGAGTTTGTCGTATAAAAGGTACAAAATTCTTATGTAAGACGCGTCTTGGATAAGACGCGTCTTACATAAGAACAGGTCTTTTAGCTGTTCTTATTTAAGTCGCGTCTTAAATAAGAAATTTTGGACAAAAAATCTAACTACACAAGGCCTGCTCTGGGACCTTAACTCGCCGCGAGATAAGGCGAGCCTATGCGAGTTAAGGCGAGATAGGGCGAGTTAAGGAAAAATCTGGCTACTGACCCTTGCGAGTTAAGGCGAGATAAGGCGAGTTAAGGAAAAATCTGGATATTGTATACACACTATGTATTTTGCTTTGTTTGTGCATTATGCAAAGCAAGTATGCAGTACTTGAAGTAGCAGGCCTAGAAAAGTGTTTTATTCTATATTCTACAATACATACATGATATGCACAATAACTCAGGACCCGGAAACAAGTTGCATCAAAACAAGGCTGGTAGCCAGATGCCAAATTGTATCATTTGAGGCATTATGCATAGTGTGTATAGAACTGCATTGTTTCCTAAATCTTCACAGTATCAGTTGCTAATTTGCTATGACTAGCTTCACCACATACTTTGTAATTTTTAGCTGTTTTCATGAATCATGACATTATCAATTAGGTTCGAATTTGTTTGCAAGCAGCAGTCCTTGTATTCAATTTTTAATTTAATTTAATATAAACATTAATATGAAACAAAGAGAAACTAAAAAGCTTGCTGGGAAATTATAGATTATTTACTATTAAATTTAGCACTTTAATAACTATTTTAATTAACGAAATTTCGAACCACAATGATATATTAAATGATAACCAACAGTCATAATACTAAAATTAATGCCCAACTTACTTGCTTTGGAAACGTAAATGACAATGATTCCTCTGTATAAAACTGTATTATTGTTTAATAATATATATTCCTATTTCCTATCAAGCTTTTATATTCAGAATTCACTGCCTGTCATTAACACTAACACAAAGTATTGCAAGCAGATTGTAATTTTTCCGCTGAAGGGAGCAATATTTTCAATATCTGTACCCAGACAGCATCCCGCCCCCCTGGTAAACGGAATCTTCCTTCCTATCATCGCGGTAATTCCTCTGTGGTCGGGGGAGGGGGGTCTACGCAGTCTATAAGTCAGAATCAATCGATTCCGCAAACGCAATATGGCGGGATATGCATCGACATTTTAAAGTTTTTTAATATCATGTTATTGATGTATTATGATATTAATTTAAAATGAGATTCAAAAAGCCTTGTCACTACAGATTGTTTCTACTAAATTTAATGTTGGTCACAGACAGGCAAGCACGGTATGTTTACTACAATATTCACCTTTAACTTTGCTTTTACTGTAAATCTATATTTTCACGAATTTTGTGAATGTGATTGTGTATTAAAATATTTCTCCTAAAATTCTACGCGTATCGTTGGTTCAGTAGCTCTGTTGCCGGTTGTATATAAAAACAGTTCAACGAATAACTTTGCAGTTTGAGCTGTTGATATCACAGAGACCTTTTATACTATAAGTATAACAGTATTTTAGTAAAATTTGATAGTCATGTGATAGGCTGATAGCTGCATAAAAGCTAAGCAAGTATACTTTTGATGTTTTGATATCATTGTATTGTTGAAATAGAATAGATAAGTGATCTGTATATTAGTATATATGGGAATATTAATTTTCAACCGGACTTCGCAGTTTGGGTTCTGTTATTATGTTCAATTATTTTCACTGTGATTTATTAAATACTGGGTATTATACTGTATACAGGATGCCTGCTAAGACCTGCTTACTGTATTAAAGTGGAGTAGTTGGTGGAATTATTTGATCAATACAGCTTTGATGGCATTACAGAGAATGTAGTAAATTAAAAATATGATAACATTTCAGATAATCAGGCTTACATACTTGTATGTTGATGTCAGTTGCAATGCCAAATTCATAGAATATATAAGTGAGTATTGTGAGTCTAAAGAATTTTGATTGACAGTATTTGTGTTTTACTGACGTGAAACTGTGCCGGTTTTTATTGCAAAATAGGGCGAGTTTAGGCGAGTTAAGCAAAATTCTGTCAACTTCTCATTGCGAGATAAGGCGAGATTGGGCGAGTTAAGCAAAATTCGATCAATTTCTATTGCGAGATAGAGCGAGATAAGGCGAGTTAGGGCGAGTTAAGGCGAGTTAAGGTCCCAGAGTAGGCCTTACACATGCCAGAAACTTGAAACAACGTAAAATTTAATGCCTTGCATATTAAAACAAAAACAACCAAAACAACATTATAGCTATAGCAAATAAATAAGACCAAAGCCGTAGAGAACCATTTATGCGATAACTCCACTTATTTAAGTCGCGTCTTATGTAAGTCGCGTCTTATTTTGTTCCGTATAAATGGCCCTAATGTGCGAGCAGAGCGAATTTGCAAGAAATTTGTTGTATATTTTATGGTTTTAAATTTTAGTTTTTTTTGTTTGGACTATAATGGAATTAATTTTAACTCAACCAAGTAAAATTTAGCCGAATGGAGTTGCCAATCGGCTAGGAAACAAACGCTATAAACGAAACAACTTGGCGATGTGCAAATCCGCCAAATTATTTGTACGAGCGTCAGACCCTTTGAAGATTTTATCAAAACAAGTGAGTAAATTCTTTATTTTAACTTAGTATTACAAACCTAATAATTATTAAACAAAGTAATTTTATTAAACAAGTGTCGATCACTTTGTTTCCCTTCATTTACGATCTCTTTGACGTATTTCTTTCCAAAGCTGAACAGCCGCAACGTAAAATATTTGTCCGCGACACGTTTCATTAAATTTGTTCTGTGGTCGTCAACTAGAATTTCGTTGTCATCATCTTCATGGTCTGTGAACAGCTCAGATGTTGAGTCCAATGTGAAATGTTGGAAGACGTTCACGATCATTGTTTTCTTTAGGTTTCCCTCGTTGCTTATTTGTTTGCCGTTTTTACCCGTAACAGTAGCTTTGAAAACGTGCTCGCAGTATTCGACCGTTCGGAACACAGATGTTGATGGGATCTGCAAACCACCCCTATTGACAAATGTGGTAAATGACAATGCCTTTCCTGCTTCATGATATATGGTTGAAGTATAGTCATGTCCGTTTGCAGGCAATTGTTTTGGCAGAGGAAGAAGGCTCTTTTTGCATGCTGGACAAACTAGGGTTTTCATAAGTTTGGAAACAATGTACCCTGCGATGTAAAACAGAACATTCGAGGTAAATTCACTATGCCCTTCTTCGTTTAAATGTTCACACATAGAAAATATGTCACTTGAGTCATTGTTGGAGGCAGAGGCTTCCACGATATTTTCGTTGGTGGTTGACTTTTTGTGCTTTCTTGTATGGAATATGGGGATAATGTTATTACATCCTGTAAAATCCACACAGTTGGCATATTT